GTTGGAGAACTGTGAGAACCTTCCAGGCAGAAGGATGTCAGAAGTCTTTTGGAACCTGCAGGAGCACAGAGGAATGAAACAAAGATGACTTCTTTCCAGCTGGGCCAAGCAAGCCTGTCTCCAGTGCTGCAAACAGGTGCTGAGGTCTTCCTCTTAGAATAACCTCCATGAAGGCAGGCGCTGTCTCTGTCCCATGTACCTGTTTGTCCCCAGCATCGTCTAGCCTGACACAAAGGGCTTGCTCTGTGGTGGATGGTTGCGTGGTTAAATGAAGATTCTGAGGCTGCCTTCCCCAGAGCACCCAAGCTCCTTCCTTTCCATTCCCAGGGAGTTTTCACAAAGACATCAATCAGTCCCTCGACATCTCTTGCTCATGACCCCTGGCCACTGGGAGAAGCACAGAGATGGGCCAAGACCTCATTTCACCAGGCATCTTGTGAGCAGCCATCCCTATTAGAGGCAGAGAGGGCCTCAGTGTTCCTGGGTGAGCACCAAGCATGTGGCCCCTGGCAGCCAAATACTACTTCAAACTCCATGGCGACGAGGTTGCACCATCATCATGGATCCTGGCTCATTTTAAGTCCTTTGGTACCATGTTCAATGAGTCACAGTTGTCAGTGCCTTGTGAAGCCACTACAATCACAACTGTAAATAATTAGTGTGAGTCCCCATTTAATATCTTGCCAACTAGATCATACATTCCATGGGAACACACGTTAAACGTCATATAGACAGAATACGAAGGGTGGACAATTAAGTTTGAGAACTTTCTCCTGTGGAAGTGCATGGTGAAAAGTTTGCGAGCTTAATTATCCGACCTTTTCGTATCATGTGTATAAATGAGTAATAGCTCATTTATATCAAAATGTGACTTTTCACTGGTGTGAAATTCCATTTGGGCGGTGAGGGGTACACAGAGGCAGTGAGGTAGAGAGAGTGGTGGGGTTGAGTGCTGTGGTGGGATTCCAGTGGGACCTTTGACACCTGGAAGTGCTGGGTTTAATCCTGGCTCTTCCATTTACTCACTGAGGGAGCAGCTCTGGGACTCAGTGCCTTTGTCTTTGAAATGGGCCTTATCTCAGAGCCTATTTCATAGGGGGCTGTCGAGAAGATCACATTCGATAACAGGCAGGACTGCCGTTATCTGACACGTGGTAAGTGCTCTGTGCGCATCAGCAGATGTTACTAGTATTGTCATCCTCGTGGCTTTTTTCTCTGTGGTCAGGAATTTGGCTCCGTCTCCTATGTCCCTAGGCAGTTGCTCGGCCATTAGGCTTTTCTGACAGTTATTTTTATTTATTTGTGAAATATTCATTTGCTTCAAATCAATTCTTCCCAAGTGGGGTTGCCCATTTGCCATGGCTCTGCTTGCGGGGAAGAGAGCAAGAAGGTATGTGTGTGGGGTGGGGATGGCAGTGGGCGGGGAGGGGGGGCGAGATGGAGTGAGCCTGGCTCTGCTGAATACATATAATCAATAGGTGAAATCGACGTGTTTGTAAAAGTTACAGGCCCTGCTGGGTGAGCTGTTTTCAGTGGTGCTGAGAAATGCATCTGTTTCATGTTTTCCTCTTCTTGGGGCCAAGATATGTTGCAATATCACCCTCAACATCACCCAGGATGCAGCACATCCTGGGAGTGGGGAAGCCATATCACCCATCTTCCATCCAGAATGTTCTGGGGCTAAGATGTCAACATGAACCTAGGGGCTTTTTTTGCTTCTAAGGAGGGAAGACAATAAATGCACTGAGCCTTGAGCATTCGCTGATTCGCTCACTATTTAGTGTGTACCTACTATGTACCAGATGCTTTTGTACCAGATGTGGGTTTAGCAGCAAATGAGAGAGACACACACCTGGACTCTGCCCTGTGCTCCTGAATGTCTGCTGGGAGATGGACATTATACAGCTGTGATGAGTGCCACGAGGTTGTCACGGTCAGGAGAGCCTTTCCCGAGGACTTGGAGTGAAGCTGTGACCTGAAGGGTGAATGGGGTGCAGCCAGGAGAAGGACATTCATGCTCTCCAGGAGGAAAGCACCCGGGCTGTAGGGAGCCCCCCACAAAATGCCCTGAGGTGGAGAGGGCAGGTGCAGGTGATCAGATGGGGAGGAGGGGGGATGTGTGGTATGGAAGGCATTGGCAACCCCTGGGCTTAGCAAGGTGCACAGGTAGTCATGGTGAGGTACCTGGTCTTCATCCTGAGAGCATGGAATGGTCAGCAGGAGAGAGAAGTGATCACATTTATACTGAGAGAGGACCTCCCTGGCGCCTGTATGGAGAATGAATGGCCAGCCCACGGGCAGAGACCCTTGGAAGTGGAGTGCAAGTGAAAGGTGGTGGGAAGGGACTCTACAGGGAGAGCAGTGGGGAAAAAGTGAGCGGAACTGGAAATATTGTAAAGGTAGCCTTGACCTATTGGTGACTCATTGAAAGTGGGGGCCGGGAAGGAGGTCGGGATGACACCAGCATTGGGGGCTGTGGTGGTGGAGGTTTTCCTGAGGTGGGGACATGGGAAGGGGGGCAGGTTAGGCTGGGGATGCAGCGCTAGCATTCAGTTTTGGACACACTGAATTCAAAGTGCCAGTGAGACAGCCAAATGGAGATGCCGTGGAGTAGGTAGATATATGAGTTTGCAGCTAAAAATAAATCTGGGTTGATGACAAGGTAAGTGTTATAGGCAGCTCTTTTATCAGATGGAGCCCATGGGTGAATCTCATTCTAGCCAGCACAGCATCATGAAGTGGGGGGGCTACACCTAGAACTTTCCACGACTAGATTCATCTTTCTCTCTTTCTGTGACCTTCAGCAATTCATCTAACCTTCTGTGCTCCTTTATTCTCAGCATAAAATGGTGATAGTTATGTCTGCTTCAGACTACCCAGTAGTTCATGTTTAAGATCCATTAAACCAAAAATAAAACATGTGGGGCTCTTTGGAAATAAGAACTATGTTAAAACAAGGAGTTATTATAGTTGTGCGTAAGCCAATGAAAAGCAGAAATACAGCCCCAAGGCCCAGTATTGATTTTGGTCCCGGGTGCTTCCCGCAGCTGAATAAATCTGACATTTCTCCCCTCAAGTGCTCGCTGAGCCGATGGCAGGTCTCCAGCTCCCAGCCTCCTTGCCCCTGTTCCAAGGTTACCTCCTTTCCCTGCTCAGGCCAGATCCTGCAGCCCCACACCTGCCCATGGTGCTCTCACTGCTCTTGGTACCCCGGTAGCTGGTTACAAGGAAGGTTCCAGTGGTGAGGTTGGAGCTTGGCCAAGAGCAGATGCCCTCTGATTAAAGTGGGGCTGTCCCTCACCCCCGAAAAGCAAAGCTTGGATTTGCAGAACAAGGGATTTAAGGCAACCAAAAGAAATGTCTCCAGACAGAGTTTTCAAACTTTAGAACTCATTAAGGGTTATGGAATTGGCTGTATTCATTCATGGGATAAATATTTATTGATTGCCCATTGAATACTAGGCTCTGAGATAAGCCTGGGGCTATAGGAGTGAAAAAGACAATATGTTTGCCCTCCTGGAATGAATATTCAAATTGGGGAAGAGGGAGACAAAAGAACAAAATACTCTTTTTTTTTTTTAAACAAAATACTCCTAAGGGAACAAACAGGTGCAAGGATAGAGTAGAGATTTGGCTGAAAGTGGGATGGCCCATTTTAGAAGGGGTGGTCAGGGAGG